ATGACAGTATGCGATGTCGAACGGTCAGTAATAATCTCGTTCGGCTAAATTCAAGGTCAAGGCGTGAGGCAGTTGATCATTGTCACTCTCTGAATGTCTACTGGAAACGGTTATTATCCTGTTAGATTGTTACGGATGGAAATTTGATCCTGTCTTATTGATGATGAACCACAGTGCTTTATTTTATATCAGAGAAGCGTTTGAATGCAAAGTATTGAACACACCCCTCTTAACAAAGGTTGTGAAGATAAGTTTATCCAATTCACATCTATCCTTACTCCGAAATTACTTAGAGAACTCGACGTCCTGAACTCAGGTACTATTTAAGGTTTACTCTTGTTTTAGGTTGTTATCAATGACACCCTAGACTCTCATATACCTCAAACATGCCTAGAAATGAAGGTTCATAACAAACGTAATGGACCTAACAAAAATAGATAAATGAACGGTGGGCAATAGACTAAAACGTAAGCTGCCAAAATGACGTATGATGCACAATAAACCTTATGGGTTACAATCAACTTAATTTCTCCACAGAAACTCGCTACTGATTGTCTTCTCATAGTTATATCTAAGACTGGTGGCCACAGACTACTTGGACACCAGCTCACATTGTGGATAGACCCAAAAAATGTGTAGTTCACTATCTACGAGTACAACTCGATCTAATCACCCTTAAATTAATTTTTAAATCCTAGAACGCACTCATGACTTCACTCAAAAGTTCACAACATTTTCCTACTGTTGACTTTAAGCTCGACTAATTATTACGTGATTTATTCGTCAATCGAAATATTATTTATTTAATCTTAGTACTATAACAAATCAATGACGTTCGACCGGTATGAACAACCTAGTGTCCTTATTAGTCCTTCTTCCTCCTAGCCCTGTTAGTTGAATCCAGAACAGCTTTCACTATGCGAATCATTTATTTCAAAATACTTGGTTTATGTACCAGCCAAACAAAACGCATCACACCATAAAATAGGAAATAACATCTATCCAAGATCAGGCTAAAAAGTGTCTGTGAACGTAAGTTTGTCTGCTCTCATTGTCTATATGATTATTTAATTGACTTTCTTATTTATTTACTTCATGAAACAGTTGTCTTCTCCTAGCATTCAAAATTTCTATTTATTATTTTCCGTATTGGAACCAATCAACCTCGTATATAGTAATGTGACAGCTATTGATTCCAGAAACATTACTGCCTTGAGACAAACTCACTCATTCAAACTACAAGATAAGCAAACCAACAAACAACTGTCAGACTGATTTAAACTAATGAAGTCAAGTGGCTTAACCAACATTCGCTAAGCATCACTGAAGATCTGAAACCTCACCAAACTAATGGGAAGTTAGCACAGGGAAGTCAATCAGTTTGTTAAATCTCGTAATGAAATTAGCATGCATTTAATTATATTAGAAATACATGGTACTGGGACAGCCGTTTGTTTTATGGTAATTCCTTTAATAGTCAAGAAATCAGCTTACTGAATAATACTCAAATACCTAGTAAATAAGTAGTTGACAATCACTTCTAGGATTGTTAAGGTGGTAATGTAAGACAAGAAAAACTAATACAGGCTATTAAGAGATATGAACAATTTATCTCAGTAGAATAAATTTCCAAACGACTTGTGGTATTGTTCTATGAACAAGTCGACTAAGTTGGACGTCGTATTAGCTATCAATCGTCTGCTCAAGAGAAATCCATCTATTCTAAAACCATTAGTCAGAATCAAATTCAAAAATACATAAATTTTAGGTCTTAATAAGTAAATAAGTGGGATGTGCATGATATCAAACTGATTAATTAACCACTTAGTTTTACAAAATAAATAATTATCAAAGGTAGAAAAATAACTAAAATGATTTTTACTGAGATGTTTATTACTAAATAAACGAAAATATTATTTCACTGGTTGGAATCATTAGTCAATTGAAGCTAGACCACCATGGAAAACCTGGAAGCACTGGACGGCCGTTTCGTCCTAGTATGGGACTCCTCAGCAATGCGCATCCACGATCCCGCCCCCCCCCGCGGGTGGTCTAGCTTCAATTGATTCATGATTCCAATCAGTGAAATTTCTAAAATCTCCACAAAACCCATTCTGAAAATATTATTATGCGCTTTGGTATTTTTTGAGATTTGGATCTTGTCACAACATAAGCAACTTCCTAACCATTATCAGGTGTCACTTTTATAAGAAATCTACAATTAAACATCCACATGAATTTTCGACAGGATCCTAATCGAGTTGGAAACAATTATTAAAGACCGTATACATGCTGACAACACTAATTATCCTTATAAATTTTGTTACGTCTTGTTTAATCTAAATTAAGACCTTGACGTGATAGGCTGACTGGCTTAACTTTGAGGCTAGTATGTGTGAGTTTGAAGTGAGACTAACTGCTTGGGGTAGAGAGACGAAAACTATTCTATCACCTGACTAGCTGATAGGCACGCGAGTGAGAGAAGACACATCAACTGGAGCATTACACGATTTATTTCCAAACTTAAAATATACCAAGTAACCTGATTCACAATGCATTAGAAATGGAGAAATGAAATTCTCAAATGTCTGTAATCTATCAAGTTCAGTTGGCAAACAATAATCTTAAACAAATTCTGATTGGTTTTCTAAATAATCATTCTACATAAGTATACTGATCACTGGGGTGTACCAGTGCCAATTTGTTTAGTCCTTAGTGTTAGTCGAGTCCTACTGACCAAGCTTCAATTCGGTTATTAGTTGAAGTAACTCGACCTTATGTATTCATGTTAGGTTTGCGATAAAGATTAGACAAACATGACAATGACCACTAATCGGAAAATAGTGTGAATGACTCAGTCCTACAGGATATCTGCCACTAATCAAATGAACGTAGATGAGTATGCTTTTTAATACAATATATTCTTCAGAACAACACTAATAGCATAAAATAAAGCTTTGCAAGCAACAGTTGGGTTGCAAAACATAAATGGGATTTCGAAAATAAAAAAATTTCAATAACATTTAGAAGGAACTATAACTTTTAGTAAAGTGTATAAAGTGTGAAGTAACTAAATTAACAACTTATTACTTAATCACTTCAGGATCATTTGGCCAGTGCCCAAAGCTGGTCGGTTGGTGACAAGGTAGTGAAATGTTGAAAAGTATCATTATAAAACAAAATGTACACTGCCTGTATAAAGATTGTCTTTATCATCTTTAAAGATTAACTTTGGCTAAAAGGTGTGTCAAAATCACTTGAATATGATCACAATTCGGTAGACAATGGATACTTATATAATAGTGATAGTAACAGTTTCGCTATTAAACTGTGAGGATGAGAATAAACGTTGATTGTCTAGAAAGGCATAAACTGAATTGCCACAGTTACTATGATTATTTATTAATGATGTTTTTGTAATATGTCAATTTTACAAAAATAACTGTTTATCTTTAATGACTACTGAAAACAATTAATAGTGACATTTTCGTGTATATTTAGTCATATAGGTCAAGTTTGTGCTAGGAGATGCTCATTATAAACTAAAACTAAATAATCATACACTACAAGCAAAGAGAGATAGTGGCTAGCAGTGTAATCCAGGACTCCCGTTCCGTCCCATTTGAGACTCGTCAGCTGGATGTACCTACACCTCTGAGTTGATGTTAACTCTGGGACTCATACCCAATACCGTTTGCTTCAAACGCCATCGCGTTGCCCACTTAATTTCTGAGTCCTGATAGCTACTAGCTTGTGTAATCGTGTAAAGTTTAAATTCACTTGGTATGATCTTACTTGAATCCTCTCATTGATGTTTAGAACTGCAATCAATCAGTCTCTTATTGACATATGTGCATCATGTGCATATTACCTTGATATTGCCTTCATTCACAAGCATTATAGGCATTATATACACTACTCTCTGATATCAATTACATTTTCCAGATAATATCAGTTTATGGTTAAAATCATTTCACCATTAATAAAAATTAAACAAATCCCTTTCCCCCAGATAGATAGATATCCGAGGAGTCCCATAATAGGACGAAACAACCGTTCACTACTTTCAAATTTTCAACGGTGATCTATCTATATATTGATAAGTCTTGTTAATTTGAACGCTTTATTCGGTTCCTAAGCTATTCTGGTAACCCGCAATCTAGAAGTATGCAGCGACCTGGACTCGAGAGAAAGGTGCAAAGTAAGCGAAAAAACACTTTAATCCAAAGATCCATTTTTGTACAGAAAAACACGGATATTTATAGATATTCATATCTGTTAAATCAACATCATATTTTGGACAATCCGCTAAAAGACATATTATGCTACTGACCAACAGTAGCATACCACATTGATATTCTAGAAACCTCCATCATGTTCTGATTGGCTAGAACTCTTCGGCTCCTTTAGGGCCTTTGGAGGCTCCATTGCAGTTTTCGGAAAACTGACTCAACATATATCAGATGAACTTATTGCATAATTCAAATTAAAAAAGAAACCAAAACAAAAGACACCATGATAAATATGTGTATATATGTGCCGATTATTTATTTAATATTAAAAAAAGAAAGAAAAGTTCTTAGTTAATACTGTGCATGACAAATAAATCATGGTGCTTAATACAAAAGAAAACACAACGACATATATGCATATGATTCTCATTGAAAGTGATCAATTATGAATAATGATGATTAGTGATTTACCGCATACACAAGCCAGATACATTAATAATAAACTAGAGTAATCATAATAATAACAATGAAGATATGTGTATATATTAAATAGAGCAAACAAATTAAAACAAAAAACAATTTATCAAAATGACCTACAAATATTGATAATTGAATAGTGTGAATTATATTTTCGAGGTAGAAATAAATTTAATGAATTCATATTTATTTCTTTTAAATTTATGACATAATCTAAGTTATTGTATACTACTTAAATTCTGAATCTACAGTAGATGTAGAAAGTTATTATAAGTAGTATAATTCATTATATTAAATACAAGTTTCTACTTTTTTTAATACTAAACATTGTTGACATTCAACACGACAACACCATATAAATTTACAATGACATGATTCCATAATATAATAATGATGTGTTATATAACCTCGACCACAACATAAATGATGACAATTATTCATATAAATTGAAGATGAATTACATAAACGACCTTTTGTACCTAATATATGATAAAATGAATTAGAATGACAAAACAATTTCTCATTTATTAATTCATAATAAACTAATTGGGATAAATGTGGATGTATTGAATGATTCATTAGTTCATTGGATTTAGTTAACATGGATGAATGAATAGTTGTTGTTGTTTTTGTTGGGTTTATAATAATCAAATTGGATTTTTTGGGAGTTTTCTTTACATTATTGGCGTTTCTATCATAATAGTCATTGGATATAGATGATAATATTGGGGTTAATTGTTTTTTCATGTTTTTCTGATAAGGTATAAATTTGATAGCTTTATCTAAATATGAATGTTTAAAATGATTTGATGTAGAGGAAGAGGTCTCTTGTTTATCTTTGTATGTACTACGGGTTGATCGCAGACTATTGGAATCTAAAAGTAAAATTTTGTAAGAAGTTGTTATAATAGATAGTTAGATTGGATACAAATATAAAATATATGAAAGTTTACTGATCTTCTACTTTTATTGCTAATGCATTTAGTAATAGTGTTGTGTGGGTTACTTATATTCCACACAAGTAGTATATAATGATGGTCAGGTATAGAATGTATTTCAGTAGAAGGTCAATGAGGAAAGAATGGGAACGGAACGCAATTGGTAATGAAAACGCGTGAACAATAAAATCTGAGACAATGGATTGGTGTTTGCAACAGGAACAGTCACGTTTGATATGATGGATTGATATTTTGCAAATTAACGACTTATGATATGGTTCTCAGATTTTATTGAGATGCTCTGTAATTTCATGACAAATACATTCGATTGTCTCCACTGGTGTCCTTGTCCACTACAGTAATGCTTTCAGAACAGATTGTTTAAGAATACTATACTATTATATTGTTGTAAAGTCACTTTGTTCAAATGAAATGTTTCACAGACTAGAACATAGAACTACATACATAAAGTGTGAGCTATGTTGACAACAACATCAGTCTTATCATGAAATCCCTAAGACTGTGTTTAACTTTAATCGTATTTACTTTTAACAGGACATTATACAAGCAAACAATCGGAATAGCAATGAAATTCCCTGTGTCCCCGATTGTAGCCAACATGATTATGTCACACATATAATCATATATTTTCGCTAGTGAAATTAAACCACGAATTTGGTTCAGATATGTAGATGATACTCTTGTAGTCATGAAAAAAGATTCACCCAACTTCTTTTTCTGAACTAATCAAAACACTTTCATATCACATTAAATTTACATACGAGAATGAAAATGAGGACGGCGAACTACCATTTTTTAGGCAGATTTGCTAAAAGAAATCTAGATGGAGTTCTAAATCTAACTATCTACCGAAAATTAACTCACTCAAATTGTCATATAGACTTCAACTCAGCACATTTGTTTAGTGCGAAGATCTCACTAGCCCTAAATCTATTTCAAAGAGCAAACAAGATTATTACATCTGAAGAGAATAAACATAAGGAATGAAAGCACATGATTAATACTTGCAATTTAAAAATTTTCCTATGATGGTCGTTAAAATAGTAATAAAATGAGACATTTTACTGCTAAATGATAATCCGAATGAAATGTCATGGATTGGTACTATAGTATTACCATACCGCCATAGTACGACAGATGAACTTCAAGGAGTCTTAAAACAACAGCGAATTAAAATACATTACAAAACAACGAAATCCCTTCGAAACATTTCAGTTCCTTCTTATGTCAATACAGAATTGTGTCTACAAATTAGGATGTGTCCATTGTGATGCATTCTATATTGAACAGTCATCTGTGAAATCTTGACTCGAACCAAAATGCATTTTAAGTACACAAAAAACCACCGAATATTCCCATAGACCTGGAAACACTCAAAATTAATTCTGCGATAACAGTCCATGTCATTTTCAATAACAAACAAGTAGATATTAAAAACATCAAAATAATACAAAGAAAATTTTTCAACTACAAAGAAAGGTAAGTAGCTGCAGCTTTCCATTTATTGCTTGATCCCACTACCCTCAATAGAAAAGAACACCTCACTATTCATCCGACTTCAACCATCCATCCATCCATTAGAGCTACTATGTTTGATTCTACTCACATCTCACACCATTAACAAACACAAAAATTCATCTTTATCCCTTCTCACCACAAATGTTACACGTTTCATCCTTTAACATACATACACACATACACACACACACATACATACATACATACACACACACATACATACATACATACATACACACATGCATACATACACACATACACACACAAATATGCAAACATGTCTCACATAAATCACCTTGACCGGAATGACATAGCATTGACTTGGTCAGACCTATTTCTTGGTTGATTTCACCAAATATTCTTGCTCGTTCTCTTGTACAATTTAAACTTGAGTTAATTTAACTTTTGTCAGAATGGGGTTTGTGGAAATTGTACTAATTTAATGGCTGAATTCATGGGTCAATTTAGGCTAGACCACTATAACGGCCGTTTAGTGCTTCCAGGTTTTTCAGGGTGGTCTAGCTCAGATCAACTCATGAATTCAACCATTAACTTAATATGTTTATTTGTTCTTTGAAGAAGTTGCTTACACTGAGTCACGAAACGTCAGAAAATTTAATTATCCTACTTATTGTGATATTACAAATGGATTATTTTTATGTGTTTATAACATTAATAAATAGTTTAAACAGTAGGTTACTTTGCTACAACTACTGTGGACAACTTCCAGTTGTTATATATCCAGTTTAATAACCAAAAGTATTTATCTATGGATAGACCGGATTGGTTTGGACTGAAGATTATAGGACTGTCTCCAACACCCATAATGACAAATCTTCCATCTCTGTTAACATGTTCTCATGTAGTGAATGAACTATAGAAAATTTCTTTTTTCAATTTTTCAAACCGGAGCATTACAAACACAAAATGGCCTAGTGTTTAAGTAGTCGCCGTTGTACGTAAAAGTCATGAGCTCTGCTCTCCGAAGACATCGTAGATGTGCATTCCTGAAGAGTTCCAGACTATGACAAGACTAATATCTAATATTCTATAGTTTTCAATGGTACTTCGACTGAGACTGGTTTGTGACGAATACCATCTACAAATTAAGTGGACTTCTATAATCGCTTCATGAAAAGTGTGATGTCTCATTAGCCGAACTATTCGCATCAAAATATTAATTATGATTGTTTGAATTCTGGATAAACATATAACGATATGTGTTGGAAACTTGACGATAATCTAACTAAGCTTAATTATATGAAATATTCCTATCACTAACAATTTTATTCATTGTCAGTTGTGTCAGTAATGTAGAATTAAGGACAACTACGAATAAAACGTTTTTTCCAAACATCGTCCTACCCGGCTGTCGAAAGAATTCATGAAGTTAGTTAGCAGTTCAACACTGAAACATCTCGTAAATTATAGACACATAGCTCCACAAGAAACCGCTTTCAAAGTCATCCATGTAAATCAAATAATTTGGCTGTAAGACAATACAAAAATTAAAACTTATGTACAGAAAAAGCCTTAGAAATTCATTAATTCAAACCCCATCTGTGTGTACAAAGATAACAGGTTCAATCACTCATATTCTATCATAGATTTAACCCCCCCATCCTATATTCCATTCTTAATCTATCATTCGTACTACTTTTTTTCTAAATTTTTTTTAATTACTTATAAACTATAATCAAAACGTTGAAGTATTTGATCATCCACATTCATCAAGTTGACAATTATCTAGCGACGACAAACTATCACCATAGCGACATGTTTCACTCTCTGATAGAGATTTTTGAAAAATTAATGAAACATAAATTCGTTAAATAAAGCAATACTTGTGTGTTTTATTGTAAACTATTCTGAGCCAAAATTCATTATAAGTACTATTATACAATTCGCTAAATTGTCTCTAATTTTCTCCCATTTCATTCAACTATCACAGATGAATATGTATCTTGTAGTGTTGAAATAATTTTTCTGATTAGCGTTTTTTAACGAGTTAGTTGGGGTCGCTAACTCCATGCCCAACCCTCCTCCTTTATCTGGGCTTAGGACCGGCAGTAGCCCCATAGGGGCTCCAGGTGATGTTGAAATACTTTGAAAATTAAACAAATGGAAACATAAACTTGTCTTGGATATTTATAACAATCAAATATGATGTCTGTAGTTGTAGTAATATGGAAGATTGGTCAGTATTTAGGTCAGAGAGTTAGTCTGATGATGCTTAGATTATTTATTCAGATCTTTTTATTAGTCAGATTTCCTTTTGAAAAACAATGCCTAGTTTCCTATTTATGAAGTATTAAATGCTAATTTACATAAACAATAAATGCCTATTATATCTCACCTAGTTTAACTTGTACTAAATCATGATCATATATATGTTTTAACAAAGTTCCAAGTGTTCTCATTCGTGGTGTTCTTCGATAACAGGTTCTTAAGGTACATGATCCACTTGTTCCATGGCATCGACAATAACGTTCCATGTTTTTAATAACTAACTAAAAATAAAACAAAACTAAGTTTAAGTTAAAACTGTGTAAGTATTTAGATACATTTAAACAACTGGAAGGTGATAAATGTTCAATAATAATAACTCAAAAGTATAAAAGAAAATGAATTGAAAGAACTATGTGATACTGATAGAGTTTATTAACATCATTTATTTTATTTCTGACTTCTTATCTGAACATTAGTGAGTACTGAAATTATGAATTCCGTAACCTAGTCTCAATATAAAGGTTAACCCTGGGATCCAGGTATATTTAACTGACTTGTCGTTAAGAGGATAAAACCTACATCCTGGATTTCACTACTAGCCACAATCTATCTGTTCGAAAAAACATTCAGTTAATGTTAACAAACTTTGTTCTTTGTGAAGTTGTTTGCTTGTATTTTCCCATTGATGTTTAGGACTGAAATTGACCAGTCTCTTGTTGGCATATGTGCATAATATGAGTATTGCCTTAGGTCACAAGCTTCATGAGCAATGATAGATGGTGACTAGCAGTGGAATCCAGTTTGACGCGCGTTTCGTCCTACTTGGTACTTGTCAGCTGGATGTACCTGGATCCCAGAGTTGATGTTCAATCCGGAACTGGAACCCAGTACCGTTAGCTTAAAACCACCATCTATCTTTGCTTATAGAGTTTATGAATTAAGGCAAGATTGAGGAACATATGCCAATAAGAGGCTGACCAATTTCAGTCTTAAACATTAATGTGAAAATACAAGCAAACAATACCAAGTGAGTTTAAACATCACCCGATTACACAAGCTAGTGGCCATCAGGACTCAGAAATTAAGTGGATAACTCGGTGGCGTTTGAAGTGAGCGGCATTGGGTACGAGTCTTTAAGTGAACGTCACCTCAGAGATGCAAGTACACCCAGTCCCGACTAGGATAAAACACGCATCCTGGATTCCACTGCTAGCCACCATTCATCATTGTTCTATGCGGTTAAAATTCTATGATTTGTTAACTTTTTGGTGGGAGAGTTTGTATTTATAAAAGAAAATAGTTTTGTACCATTAAGTTAACGAATTTCCGTGTTATTTCAGAGGTAAGATTTGAAATTTGATAGTTTGTATATCACTGTTATTCAAACCAAATCGCATCACCCTCAAATGCAAAGTTCAATAGATCTATCTGAATACTCTTGTCTTCGTTAGCTTTTCATAGAAAGTATAGAGAAATAGCTCTTTAAAAATACCACAGCATAATGAGGTTATATACATGCATTACTGACTCATTACAACATTGAAAACTTCAAACATGAGAATTAATTTAATAGTTGAATTCATGAGTCAATTAAAGCTAGACCACCATGGCAAACCTGGAAACACTGGACGGCCATTTCGTCCTAGTATGGGACTCCTTAGCAGTGCGCATCCAAGATCCACAATTAATGTTAGAATACCTGTTGTTTATGCACCTACTAGGTTAAAGTATCAAATGAAGTATCTTTACTAAGATTTGTTTACTTAGTTAAGTTGTCTGACCAAACGATCAGAATCACCTTATAGAGTGTCTTGTTAAATCTTTAAATTATTGCGTAGTGTTGCTTCCTTTCAGTGGCTTCTTTAGCCACTGATATACTAAATGTCTATACAACAATAAACTAGTCTCATAAATATTATTCTGCATATATATTGTGAAAAAATATGTGGCAAACATGACAATTCAGTAATTTATAACTTAATTTTGAAACTTACTTGTCGACCGACACCATTATTATGTAAATTCATTTCAAATCTTATATGTGAACCACGTTCCATTGTATCGAGTAAACGTCGTGAAAATCTTCTACCATAATGAATATTATGATCGCATCCTTGCCATTGCCAATCTGAAAATGGTTCTTGTCTACCTCGATTATTACATGGACAATTATCGATTTGATTTAAACATGCTTCAGCTACAGATTGAACTATTCCAGCATTGATAATTGAATAAATAAATGCAGTTTGTGGTATACCTTAAGATAAAATATGATAGTATTGTATTGTATATGTGTATTAATTCACTCTAAACTTCAGTTAATTACTATGATTTCTTTCAGTCATTTAAGAAATAGGTTTCTGTAAATTTTACTAAACACTTAAAAAAGAGAGTCATGGAGTCACAAAACTAGCTGAAATAAATTATCAGAAGGGGGTTTAGTGGAGATTGTAGTAATTTAATAGTTGAATTCACAAGTTAATTAAATCTAAACCACCATGGAAAATCACGAAGTACTGGGTGGCCTTTTCTGTTAATAGTCACCATGTGCTAACTGGTAGCTGGATTCAAGAGTTATTTTTTGGAGTTCTATTGAGCAGCCGTGACCAGTGGAATTCAACGGGGGCTGTTGTGAGATAGTAACTCACTGAAGACAATGGTGGATATGTCGCTGGATTTCGTGGATTGATTGAAGTTAGACATTAACACCACTAAATACCGGCTCAATGGTCTGTAGGTTTACCGTTCGCATGCGAGATCGAAGCTCCAGGATTCGAATCCCACGGGTGGGATCGTGAATGCGCACTGCTGAGGAGTCCCATATTAGGATGAAACGGCCATCCAATGCTTCCAGGTTTTTCAATGGTGGTCTAACATTGATCGATTAATGATATCAATTAGATCTCAACAATCTCCTCAACCTCATTTTGATAATCACAGTATTCATGCCATCCTAAATAAAGTATCATCACAATAAGATAACAACCAATATTGTAAAATATTCTGTATATAACTGCATGATTTCATTATATAAAATCATTCATATTTTACTGATAGACTATTTTGTCCTCTGGCATCACTTCATATTAAAAATTGATGCATGAATAGGATTTCTAAGCAATCATTACTCGATCGTAATCAAGCCAAGAGACTGAAATTCTAATCAGCATCACTTAAACCTAATTCCTTCCATTTTAATAGATAAATATGCTATAACACTGCATGATTTGATCAATAGATTTTAACCACCGGTAAAAACCATAAAAATACGATTGATTGATGTCTAATGATTCAGTTTTACTGATAACTGGTTATAGTTTGATTAACTTAGTAGTGACACTATCCATTTGCTGATGTGCTATATAACGTAGATCAGAATCCTTCAGACTACAAACCTAAAGTGTCAAGGAAACCAAGATTTTGGTAGAGAAGCATTTGTAAAGTGTAAATTGTTGGTGTTTGTTGACATTCATTAGCTAATAGTCTTAGCGATTTTTAACAAATTCTTATCACCCAATGCTACAATCACAGACATTACCATTTAGCCGAATACTATTAAATGAAGTGCTTGATTGTCTTAAACTCAAATCTTAATATATTTCCAGTTCCATATGATTTTCGTTTGATTAAATGCGAAATCTTACTTTTTACTGATATGATAATTTTATCGATTAAGAGGCTTTCTAAAGATCCTACTGATTGATTTTAAATATATTCGAATAAAATGTTCTTTTTTTCCGAGATGGAATAATCCCTCACAATCTGATAAAACAAAGATATTTTATTTTTTGTTGTTGATTGAAATCATGAGTCGATTGAAGCTAGACCACCATTGAAAACCTGGAAGTATTGGATGGCCGTTTCATCCTAGTATGGCACTCCCCAGCAGTGCGCACTCACGATCCCACCCGTGGGATTCGAATCCTGGAGCTTCGATCTCACATGCCAACGGTTAACCCACAGACCATCGAGCCGGTATCTAGTGGTGTTAATGTCTAACTTCAACCAATCCACGAAATCCAGCCACATATCCACCATTGTCTTCAGTGAGTTACTATCTCACAACAGACCCGGTATTTTAGAAATTATAAAACAATGAACCATTACTCACTGATAATCTGTTACGTATTAAGCTGTCTAAGTAGTCTGTCCAATTAATAATAACTTTAACTTACAAACATATCGATATTATCAGTCTTATTTATTTCAGAATAATTACGGTCGATAACAGTTAAACTGTTCAATTTCTCTTTGTTTCCCGAGGTTAAGATCTTCAACCACCTTATCGATAATATTCTAAGTTTTGTCGTATTCTAACAGTTTTCAGACTCCTTATTAAATAGTTTAACATATTCCAAAGAGCTATTTCCTTTAGAAAGTTATCTCTATACATATCTTCCACGAGTTTGTGTTTTCTGAGTTTTCTCAAAGTTTTAATAAATATTTAATCATAAATCGTTCATCCATGTATTTATTTATCACCATCATGATCTATAACGAAAACAATATCAACTCCAATCCATTTTTATAGGATTCATATGTTTGAATAATCATCTGTTTCTAATTGACGTTATTGCTACAGGGATAGTTATGTCCATAAACTAGGAAACAATCTTAATATATAAGATGTTACTGAACAAATTGCATATAAATCAAATGTATTGTTAGAAAGGTATTAAGAAGATACTGTATTATCATACTATGTAAGTTCAATAAATCAGTGGTTTAGAGATTAAGCATTCTCGCGTAACCGAAGGTCCTAGGTTCGAGTCTCGCGTTCAAGATCGTGGATATGCACTGTGGAAGAATCCATACTGGGATGAAACAGTCGTCCAATACTTCCAGGTTTTTGATGGTGGTCTAACTTAGATCAACTTGTGATTTCAACTATAATAATACTACAATCTTCACAAATCCCTATACTGATAACAATTTATCTAGGTAAAAAATTAACAGATACGTTTAAAATATTGAAATTCTTTGTCATTTAAGATAATAACAGCAATGAAAATATCATGAATTGTGGATTTTGTTTTCATCATTGATTGGTATAAATTGGGAAATAATTAAGATCAGAATGGGTTATGTGGAGATTTTTAGAAATTTCACAGGTTGAAATCATGAGTCAATTGAAGCTGGACCACCATGGAAAACCTGGAAGCACTGGACGGCCGTTGGATGCGGGCTCAGCGGTCTAATGGTTAAGCGCTCGCGCGCTAAACCAGTAGGTCCTGGGTTAGGGTCCCGTGGGGTGCGGGATCGTGGATGCGCATTGCTGAGGAGTCCCATACTAGGGCCAAACGGCCGTCCAGTGCTCTAGCTTCAATTGACTCATGATTTCAACCTGTGAAATAATTAAGAATCAAGGAAAATCGAACATCACTCACTGCCTACTTAATTATTTATTAATGAGACAACAGATGGAGAATATTCTTTTCTCTGGTGAAACAATTACAGAACTGAATCAGAGTAACAGTAATGAGTTTATACAGGTTATAATTCATGGAAATGTTTCATAAATAGTAACTTAATTATATAACTTCTTGGATATATCAAATTCAAATCCGAAAAATTCTATTCTTACCTTTCAGTAAAATGTTTCCAAATAAAGCAGTTTCATCATCAAGCACTTGACTACAATTCCATCTTTCATGCCGAAACTGATAACGACATTCAGCTACTGCACGTCTTACACCAACCACTGCAGCTTCAAATAAAGCAAGATTAAATTTAGCCGGTGCATTCATTCGACTGCCAATAGTTGTAGAATCATCTGTTAAAAATTGTTTCCATTGTTTTGGTGATAACCATTGTTTGTAACGTTGTATACGTTGTCTGAGATGATGTTCTATCCATGCTGTATTATGTGAGATAGGCTATAGATAAAATTAGAAAAAGGCAGATTTATAAAATTGTTAGGAAGATATTATCAACATTGGTTTGTTAACAGTTACATCAAGTTCATATATTACATAATAATTACAGTGGTCCATTTATATTCTTTAGTTTGTTAGATTCAAGAACTTGATTAATATGAAAACGTTTTAAATCAAATCAACAAAAATCTAGAACTGGTGTGGATTTTCACTGTAGTTTTCAATTTATCTGTTCACCGTTTATCAGTAAATTGATTGGAGGTTAACAAATATTTAATAATTTAATAGTTGACATTATGAGTCAATTGAAGCTAAACTATCATGGAATACCTGAAAGCACCGGACGGCTATTTCGTCCTGTTGTAGAACTCTTCAGTAGTGTGAGTTCACAACCCCGCCCCGCGAGATTCGAACCCAGGAACTATCGGTTTCTTGCGTGAACGCTTAACCTCTAGACCACTGAGCTGGCCGGCATCCAACGCTGTTAATGTCTAACTTCAACCAATCGACAAAATTGAGCGACATGTCCACAACTGTCTTCAGTGAGTTACTATCTCACAACAATATTTAATACATTGTTAGTGTACATGATCCCAATATACAAAGATTCCATGTAAGGCATAGTTTAATGTAAACATTCAGACTCCCCACTCAGTCACTACCATCCATTAGTTTTGATCAAGACTCTAGGACGAAGTTGTACAACGCGATCAATAATCCATCACCGTTGGATGTCCTAGTGTCAAGGAGTTATTCATAACAATTAGTCAAAATAAGTCAACTTCAATTGGAGTTTTTTTTAATTTTTTAGGCCCGTATTTATATTTTATAAATAAATCCCATCTAAATTCTGGTGAAAACTTATTTCCTACGTATTTCAAACTGACAGTGTTTAATTTGACAAGTTCAAAACTAATCCCAACCAATCATTTGAAATGAAACATTTAAATAAGTTTACTTTCGAAATACATCAGTTCACACTTAAACTAAACTTTTCATGGTATTTAGAGTAGTTAATTAAAAGAAAGAAGTTTAACCTCGAAAGTTTACTATGGTCGTAGTGTATAGGTATAAATATTATACTAAATGTTTGCCGTTTTATTTAAAATATCACGTCATAAAAGACAGTTGAAAATAGAACAAACTTACATCGAAAATCTGTCGTCTCCATCCATAAACTGACGGATGGTTTTGATTATTATTATTATTATTGTTACTAGAGCCAGCATGAATTTCATGGTTCACATACGGAACAATTTGTCTTTCATTCTGATAATTTAATCCTGGTACATTATTCCATGGTATCATAGTTTCTTCATTCATTGCACTAGATGGTGATTGATTGTTTTCAGCATAAATTTCAATGATTGGATTATATAAACTCCGTGAATTACCAGACAAAGTTAATGGATGTGAATGTAGAAGTTTAGCTATCGTATCTAACCTACGAATAGATAACAAAATGTTCTTATATTATTTGTACTACTCACAAGTAGTTAGATATTTTCGTATAAATAAATACGTTGGCTATTGGTTATTTATCACTCTATTAAAAATATTATTTACTTATTTCAAACGATAATAATCTATGGCTCTGTCGACAAAGTTTTTCACATCTATGGCACCTTTTAGAGAGGACTATAAAAATAAACCGTTTTGAGGTGTGTTAAAAAGAGCCTTAACATTCCTTTGAAAATAATCAATTACTAATTAAAATGTAATCTGTCTACGTAAATTATGATCTATACTAAATAAGCATAATGTTTTGTATCCACAGTCACTAGATTGCATCAAACACGCAAGTAATGAATTCTCATAGTTGAATAGTTTATTGGTGTAGATGGTTCACGGAAAATGTGTGACCATGTTAAGTATATATATATAAACTGAACTTAGCCATAGCCTAGAGGACGGAGGACATTCTACAACCGTGTCATTATTCGATCACATTTATAACTCTACAATCAATTCAATCTATTCACAGAAGATTATAATACATAACATTCAACTACATTTCTCATGATTAAATTGTTTTTACAACAGACTTCAGATAAAATGTGAATATTTCCCAATGATATTATGTTATTTATCTAATATACTGCCATCTCTCTCTCTCTTCACTTAAATGTAATACATACATCATATTGGATGATGCATATCTAGTTGTTTCTATCTAATAAATTACATTAAATGTAAGAAAAAAAAACATACATATTTACAGGAAACAAAGCTAAGAAATTAATTCCCTAATGAAGTAAATTTCAGAATAAATGAAGAGTATAGATAGATAATATAGAGATGTATATAATATTCATCTGTTCATCTGTTTATAATATTTCTCTATACACTATATGATTATTCAAGTATAAATATACATAAAAATATTATTCTCTCAGCATACAATAATATACACATTGTCTGCCCCCCTATGAAATAACATAGAGACAAGTAAACAAAATATGAAACAGTCAAATTAGTTGTCCAGTCAGAGCCTGTCAAACTTGTCAAATTGATTTATTAGTTCATCATCTACTGTCAAATATCTCAACAAGAGGAAAGGGGCATAAAACATTTTTTTATTCACTGGAAAATATTGTAATCTTTTTCTAAATATTACCAATACTATTATTATTATTATTATTATTATTATTATTATTATTATTATTATTATAAGGTGCATTGCATATAAATAAGGCAGAGATAATCCAGAATCCTTATGCTAATTTCATCGACTTATTTCATGTTTATTTTGATTCGAATTTTCTTTTCTTTTCTTTTTTTTGGTTTTTTTTTTCATGGTAAAATGGTGAATTTTCTTACTGTTGGTATAATCTAGTGTCAATGCTTGTTTATTTGTCTGTTATAGTTCAATCATATTCTTTATTGTAGCATTGTTGATGTCACTATTGAATTGATCTTTCGATTTTTTTTTCTTTCCCATTTTTCTTTCTCTTTTTTTCTTCTTCTTTTCTAACAAGTAAATAACAGTGTTGATTTTTAATTATTTTCATTAGGATTATGCATAAAAGTTTATTGATCATTTGAGAATTAATCTTATGTACTTAATAATTATGGGCAGCATCATTGATGAACAGGGTGGATCTGATGCAGATGTGAAAGCGCGGATCGGAAAAGCAAGAGCAGCATATTTACAACTGAGGAACCTCTGGAACTCAAAGCAACTGTCAGCCAACACCAATGTCAGGATTTTCAATACAAATATCAAGACAGTCCTACTCTATGGGGCAGAAACCTGGAGAACGACGAAAGCCGTCATCCAGAAGATACAAGTGTTTATTGACAATTGTCTACGCAAAATACTTAGGATACGTTGGCCGGACACTATTAGCAACAACCAACTGTGGGAAAGAACAAACCAGATCTCAGAGGAGGAAGAAATCAGAAAGAACGGTCGTATCGTTCTATTGAGGTTCAAATCTCGTGGGCGGGATCGTGGATGCTCATTGCTGAGGAGTTTCATATTAAGATGAAACGGCCGTTCAGTGCTTCAAGGTTTTCAATAATGATCTAACAACATTCGATTCATGATCTCAGTCAAAAACTTTATGATCTCCACAACCCCATACTGTAAACAGTTTTGTATTATACTTCTGTTACAATGATTTTGAATACTTTGAATAATTCACATACATAGCTTATTCCGAAGTAATTAAGAACTGATATAGCCCCAAGCAATATGTGATACATCGATAACTTAATTAACAATTGAACTAGCCAAATATATTTTCGTAAAAATCTTTCGTTGAAGTGTTTCCGTTATATGTGTTCTTAGCTGACTGATGATATTGGTTATGTTAATTAGTTTAAAAATGTGAAAAGAAGAATAGTTAATTAGTTTCTTAAAGAGAGCAAGAACGAAGATTCAAAGACCATCAAACAGCATTACGAAATATTAAACAAAGTGATGATATAATGGTCAGATAAAGGTTCAAGTGTTGTTCTAATGAACACAACAGATTATGTCTCTAATATGAAGCTAATTTTAACTGACCATATGAAATGCAATTTAGATAAAAGTAATAAGGACTTAACTGATTCAACTGATAAAAGAATCACGAAAGTACTCAGAGATCTCCTGAAGAACATGATGATCGATAATTCTTTGCACTAATCTTCATTCTTGCTCTCTTTAAGATAATAAATGGAATTATGTGTATGTAATTAGTTTCTGATGGTGAACAAGTGAAAATATATTTAGTTCAAATAAAATAAAACCATATTTTCAATGATATACTGATGTACTTTAACAAGGGAACATTTATATGAATTATATAGCTTGTTCATATTTGAGAATAATGATTCATTGAATGAATAGGACTGAGGAATAGATTTAGGATTGTCATCAATAAACTAATTTACTGGTTACGCTCTTTGATGAATGGGTGACCTTTGATCCAGAGTTAATAATTTAATGAATGAAAAGCCATGTTCAACTATAAAGTATGATTTTCCTGCAATATAACTCCAAGACCAATCGAAAACTCAACAAACTCTTCTCACCTTCATTCAATTCATAATAGTTTCAGAATTATTCCATAGTTGATATTTTTGACTAAATTTTGGTCAATCTTAATTGGTATATTTGTATCCTATGCGAATCGCCTCGATATAGCTATTATATCACAAGTTTTTTATAAAATAGATAGAATATGACTAGTAATGGAAAGTTTGCTCATGAAATCAGTCCTTTACTTCTAACCTATTAAACTTTGTAACAGTAAATCATTGAGCTAATAACTTGTTAGATAATCACTTACTGATCAACAATAACAACGATTATAAAATGATCAAGAAAGTTCCACACTCTTCATGTCACACATGCATGTAGGAAAAAGAAAAATATGTTAATTACAATCTAAACGTGAATTTAGTATGAAGAGTAGAAGAGATTAAAAAATAATCACAAAATAGTTCATTTTTGTATTGTTTGTTTCAATCTTCCCATTGCAGTTTAGGACCGTAATTGATCGGTCTCTTATTGGCATATGTGCATCATAAGCGAATTACCTTGATAACGTCTTAAGTTACAAGCACTATGAACAAACACTATGGATAGTGGTTAGCATTGGAATCCAGAACACGCATTTCATCCTGTTTACGACTCGTCATCTGGATGTACCTGCATTCCTGAGTTGATGTTCATTCCGAGACTCGTATCGGTTAACGCAATCGCGTTATCTATTTAGTTACTGAGTTCTGATAGCCACTTGTTTGTATAATGGCGTGAAGTCTTAATTCATTTTTGGATTGTTTGCTTAGATCTGTTCATAAACTTAGTAGCTAGTGGAAAATGTGACAGCGTTTGAAGCGAACGGTACTGAGTTCAAGCCCCAGAATGAATAACAACTCAGATACAAGTATATCCACTTAAAGTCGATTAAATGAATCCAGCTAATGAAACATTATGAATAAGTTATAAAATACAATTCATAAGTTAAACTGAAGTAAAATAAGTAAAGAGTGGTAATCGTAGGCGGAATCATGAAAATAGGAAAGCATTATATAGAAACAAACTGGAATATGTCCCATACTATGAAAATGTTTAAGTTATCCTGATAATGTCCAAGTTTTCCCTTGAAAACAAAAAAAACAAAAACAAATTTTTTCAGCTAACTGAAATTTTATTTGGCTAGAAAACAACATAAAATCAACAACTGTTTACATATTAGGGTTATTTGTTACTTTGAAAAGTGTTATCATGAATAGCAGTAAATAATGATCATGACCATTTCACTATAGTCCCAATTGTTAACTGAGAGGTAAACAAATTTTCCTATTCTAGTAAACTATCGTTCTATGAATGTGGTTTGTTAATATGGATAGTAATGACAATTAGTTATCAATATAATGAATTGGGGTGTAAAGTGATTAGAGATTATTTCTGAAAAACTCTCAACCTGGGTTTTCTGGTACTTGGCATTCTTCAACAAGGCGTACTTAAAATCATAAAGGTACTGGTATTTAAGGTAGGATCCTAAATCACATCAACAAGCTTCACTGTGTGAGAGGTTACCTCTTAGCTATCCAGACAGAGATTGGTCTCCTATTGAGCCTATACATTTAAAATGACTGATCGCAACTTCACTTACAGATTATCATCAGTTGATAGATTTGATCAAGTTTCGTTCGCTGAGCTGGATAGTTTGGTCGTGTACAAATATAGAACCAGAAATCAAATCATTGGGAGATACAATCAAAATAAAGAAGTAAACAATGATAGGTTAAAGGTCAACAATAACCAGCCAACATCGACGTCTACAGGACAAGCTGTGAGCAATATATGGGGAAACACAAACACTTCACTTCTGTCTAAAGTTTGTGCTGATGATGCCATTTATAATAACGATGAAAACTCCACAACCATGCGATCCAGATCAGAGAACAAAATTCTATTAAAATCATCCACTTGACCTACAAATCTTC